ATTAAGGATTTCCTAGTAGGTCGTAGACGGGAAGTACACCACCTGTAAACCAGTACTTAGTGGAGTACCGCAAGATTCTGTTTTAGGTTCTTTACTTTTATACTGTATGTGAATGATCCCCCAGGTATAGTAGAGTCCTCAATGTTGTTATATGCTGACGATGTAAAAACCTGGTGAGAAATAACAGGAGACACAGATGAATGATTACTTCAGGCAGACTTATATATTGTAATTAACGGCGGCAAAGTGTATCTACATGCGCTTCGGGAATATGAAGATAAATACATACAGGGAAATTGCCTATGCCTATGGTCTAGTCTCACAAGGATCTTGGGGTGACAGTGAGTTATAATATTAAGACCATGATCCATTGCTAGGAGGTTGCAGCTAAGGGGTTTATAAGCCTATGGGATTTAAGGCGGACATTCACCAAGTTAAACACCACCATATTCACTACGGTATACTCAACCTTATTGAGAATTGAGCTTGAAAACTCCGTTCAGGCTGAAAGCCCTGTTTAAAATGTAGCGTGGTGTCGAGTTGAGCTTGACTATGAACACCGCTACAAGACTACGTGCCAATAGACCAATAAGATTCCAGTAGGCCAAAAATCAGAAGGCAGATGTTTGCTGTAGTCGTAATATATTTGTTGGCAATCTCGTGGTATCGAAAGAATACCGAGATCGTGCCAAAGGAGTACAAGTGTGGTTACTGAGCGTAACCGGATTCGTACAAGTTCAAAGTCAACGGGAGAGTAAGTATATTGGCTGTCATTAGCACAGTTAAACAAACGAGCACAGTAAAACAGTCACTGGTACAATTGGTTATAATAATAATTGTTTTCATCGATCCAATCGCGTTCTGTTGACAAAAGTAGGTCACTACAGGAGCCCCCCGCTAGAAAGGGTTTACACTTTCGATAGTTAGCGGTTTGATTCGTGGGACTGATCGGCAGAAGTGCGGTTGTAGGACGAAGGAAATTGGCGGAACAGGAAGTGATCGTTGATCCTCGAGTTGCCAACGAAAGTCTTTTGCGCAGAACGGTACCAGGAGAAGTGTGCTGTATTTGTTGGACGAATTGGCATACCACACCAGGGTGATTTGTATCCAGGATCTGAAGATTGCGTTCGTAAAGATGTGGACCAGAAAACGCTGCAGACGTAGGACGAAACCACGTTGAGCCAAGAAACCGGACGCGACCATAACGACCAAGCGTATGCCAGGCGAATTCGAGACCAGATAATCGACTGAGTGCGTTGACTAGAGCGTGGGTGGCCAAACCAGCTTTTGCCAAAATTGACTGAAGTCGACGTTATCAAACGGGCGATGGTCGGAGGCGTGGGCTCAGGATACAAAAAAATCAAAAAAAGAAAAGTGTAGCATGCGTGTAGTATAGGAATAATCCTACACCGTATCCGTTATTGACTGTGCGTTTAGTCGCGAAAGCGAACGGGTAATCGTACTCGGCGACCGGACCGTGAGACGGTGGTCTCGTTCGTGCTTCGTGAGCCTGCGATCTCATCCGAGGTCAAGGGCGGCGTGGTCTGCCGATCTGGACGTGTGACGGAAGTCTCGTCCGTAGATGGTGCAGATGACGCGTGCTGTTGACCGGGACGTGAGAACGAGGTCTCTGATGTATCTAGCGTGGGATCCGAGGTAGACATAGAGATCCCGCTAGAAGGTTTGATAGGTCTAGCATTGAGAATTCCCCAGGCAGACGCAATGTCGTGCCGTATACAAGTTCAGCCGCGGAACATTGGATATCTGCCTTCAAACTCGTTCTGATGCCTAAGAGAACGAGCGGTAAGGTTTCGTACCAATTATCGTTTTCGTGTGCTCGAAGAGCACTTTTAAGTTGGCGATGAAACCGTTCGACTAAACCATTCGATGCTGGATGGTAGGCGGTAGTGCGTATGCGTTCCGTACCAAGCAGCCGGGTCAGTGAGGAGAATAATGCGGACTCAAATTGTTGTCCTCGGTCAGTCGTGACAGTCGAGGGACAACCGTACAATGCTATCCATCGTTCTACGAAGCGGTGAGCAATTGTCTCCGCCGTGATAGACGTGATGGGAATAGCTTCGGGCTATCTTGTGAAACGGTCAGTGCACGTGAGTATGTGATCATACCCATGCGATGGTGGCAATGTTCCTACGATGTCTATATGAACGTGATCAAAGCGAGCATCAGGCGTAGCGAACGTGCCAATGGGGGCAGCTACGTGCCTGTGCACTTTTGATCGTTGACACTGTAAGCATTGCTTTACCCACATACGAACATCTTTATTCATGGACGGCCAGACGTATCGTGCAGCGATTAGACGTAATGTGGCTGCGATACCTGGATGAGACAATCCATGTAGGGCATCGAAGACGAGACGGCGATAGGCAGAGGGTACGATGGGTCGGGGAAGACCGGTAGAAATATCACATAGGATAGTACCTGAGCTAGTAGCTAGGGGTACTTCCTGACACTGAAGGGACGAAGATTGTGGTGCTTCTGTACAGACAGGATCGTTTGCTTGCGCGGCGGCCATAGCAGGAAGATCGAGCACCGGTAACGTAACTGCATTCGTCTGGATACGTGAAAGAGCATCGGCAACATAGTTCGACTCGCCTTTAATGTGACGAAGGCCTGTCGTGAACTGTGAGATATAGTCCAAATGTCTGCACTCTCGTGGTGAGTAGCGGTCAGACTTGGTATGCAGGGCATACGTTAAGGGCTTATGGTCGGTGAATAAGATGAATTGACGTCCTTCTACTGCGTGCCGGAAATGTTTGATGGCGCAGTAGACTGCAAGCAGCTCGCGACCAAAAGCGCTATATCTCGTCTCTGTGGGAGTAAGGCGTCGTGAGTAAATTTCAAGCAGTTGCCAACTACCGGAGATATTCTGTTGCATAACGGCTCCTATAGCGAAATCTGATGCATCAACCGTTATACTAAGCGTGGCTTATGGGTCAGGATGAGCGTGGAGTGTAACTTCAGCGAGAGCCGTTTCGATCTCTGAAATTGCAGTACGTGCGGTATCGTTCAATTCTAATTTGCGTGGATTACCGCGTAGTGAATCGGTTAATGGTCGTAACCGTTCTGCTGCGTGAGGGATGAAACGTCGGTAGAAGTTAACCAAACCGAGAAAAGCCTTCAGTTCCTTGATTGAGGACGGCACGTTGTACTCCTTGATTGCTCGAATTTTGTCCTCGCAAGGCAGAATACCCTCTCGTCTGATGATGTGACCCAGAAATATTATTTCTGATTTACCCAACTCACATTTCTCTGGGTTGACTATTATTCCATTATCCGAAAGACGTTGGAATAATAGCGTAAGGTGTTGATAATGTTCATCTACATTTGATGATGCGATCAGCAGGTCATCAATATAGACGTGAACAAAATCCAAGTCTCGTACTATGCTATCGATAAACCTTTGAAAAGTTTGAGCAGCATTTCGTAATCCAAATGGCATTCGTAGGAACTCAAACAGACCGAAAGGAGTCGTGATAGCAGTTTTTTCGATGTCTTCAAGAGCGACTGGGATCTGGTGATATGCTCGTACCAGATCGATTTTAGAAAAGATAGTCGTGCCCTTGAGCGATGCCGGGATGTCGTGTATGTGGGGGATGGAGTAACTATCAAAGCGCGTAACAACGTTTAATGCTCGGTAGTCGCAACATGGTCTCCAACTAACCCCATCTTTTTTGCGCACCATGTGTAAAGGAGAGGCCCAGGGACTGTGAGAAGGACGAGTAATACCAGCAGATAGTAAATTGTCAAACTCACGTTTAGCGAAAGCTAATTTGTCCGGTGCCAGTCGGCGTGGTCTTGCCGTGACTGGTGGTCCGCGGGTGACTATGTGGTGTACCACACGATTGGTCACCGATGAAATCTCCTCGAGTGGTTTAGTTATTCTGGGGAATTTCTCGAATAAGGCGTGGAATTTATCGTCAAGCGAATAAAAAGCGCCGAGGGTTCGGTACGCGTACATCGGAGTCTATTATATTAATACTATTCTTATCGTTATCCGTCATGTCAAATATATTATATATTAAAAATTAATATGAAATTATATGACAGACGTGGATAGATAAAACTATAGACTCACCGAATTGCCTTCTTTGGAAGATTTGACCGAGGTTGAGGCGTGTTCCAATATTTGGCTCACCAAATGTAGCGTGGTGTCGAGTTGAGCTTGACTATGAACACCGCTACAAGACTACGTGCCAATTAACCAATAAGATCCCCGTAGGTCAACATCAGAAGACAGATGATGGCTGTAGTCGAGATGTATTTGTTGGCGATCTCGTGGTATCGAAAGAATACCGAGATCGTGCCAAAGGAGTACAAGCGTGGTTACTGAGCGTAACCGGATTCGTACAAGGTCGAAGTCAACCGGAGAGTAAGTATCATTAGCACAGTTAAACAAACGAGCACAGTAAAACAGTCACTGGTACAATTGGTTATAATAATAATTGTTTTCATCGATCCAATCGCGTTCTGTTGACAAAAGTAGGTCACTACAAAAAGGTGACTCGGATATCCTGGAAAAAGTGAAGAGAGCAGCTACCCATGCAATTCCAGAACTCTGGAGTTTACCATACCAAGAGCGGATTGAAAAACTAAACCTCTTTAATTTGTCCGATCACAGATTGAGAAGTAACTTGATTTTGATTTATAGAATACCAAGAAATGATTTTGGACCTAATATATCCTCTCATTTTCTTCCCACTGGATCGAGACATCTCAGATGACGTAGTGGGCGAGTAGAAAAGCCTAGAACGCATGAAATACCCGTGGCATACAGGTTTACACACCGAGTCATCAATTCTTGGAACCTGTTACCCTAAGCATTGGTGTCTGCACCTTCAGTTGACTCATACAAGAGAAGACTAGGCACTCACAGAAGCATACTAGAAAAGGAATAACATAGGCCATAGGCCTTCTATCCTTACTACACAAATCTGAATCTGAACTGTCGCATCTTTCAAACCGTACTAGTTGTCGAGGTGACGCACCAATCTTTTTACGATGGTTTGACCTTCAAGTGCTTGTAACCTTTAAAATGGACAGTACCACTGCGTCGTTGTCGTAGTTTTGCATCGCTCATCATTGAGAGGAGATATACCCGACGTAAGCATGCTAGAAGGAATGCAGCGACCGTGAGTAGTAATAGCAGCGAAAAACCGCGAAAACACAAATAACGTGAAAAAGTTGTGCTAACACTTAAAGCGTCGCACAAGTTACGGAATCTCGAGATCCCATAACAATGCCGGTCGGTACACTTAAGGATTCAGTACTTCAGCAACACAGATATGCTAGCAAAAAAACACAGAACGAAACAAATCGCGCATCACTGTTTACAAAGATTGTAGAAATGATAGTTTCCGCTTAATTCTGACTAATCGATAAGTAGTTTATCAAAATTACGAACCGGAGTTGAGTTTATTTCCATTCTGTATTTTTTGTTGTTGCTAGTTTTTGCTGATTGCGTTTATTATTGAATGCAAGTGAATAGCATAAACCTAATAGGTTGTTTACTCAGTCCGCTTATGTTTACCTCTCTCAGACTCACACCTTGCTTCTTATTCTTCCCAAAATATAATTTATTTATAGGTTCGATACAAACCTAACAAAGGCTAAACGTTACGTTCCCGAATGGTTTATGATGAATATACTCTGTAAGTAATTTTTCTGACATAGATTAGCTTTTAGTTACATAACGCCAGATCACTACTTCATAAATGCATTAGGGTCGAAAGCCTTCATTGTAATTGACAGAGTGTCACAAGAACTTAAAGTTGAATGTTAGTTTCTTCATATTAAAACATATTTTCGTAGTTGAAGAACCGGCCATTCCAAGCGTAGCTAGAAAGCAAACAATCTATGGAATATGGGGGGTTATTCGTCTAGTTTCGGGTAAGTTTCAGGTGTTTTTTCATATCCGTCCAAACTAGGGTTTTATTTGATAGTAATTAAAGAACGTGAGCGAGTCGGTGAGATATTCGGGAACACTATTCTAAAAATAACAAAGAGCATCATACTACCATTTGCAAGGTCTTTACTTCATTTGACAGATATTCAGGTAGGTGAACTTAGATTTATGCAAATTGGTAGAATCAAGATGAATCTGTATATTGCCAAATGCTTAGTAGTATTCTATCGTCAGAAGGCTTTTACTATTCGAGTACCTATGACCTGAGTCACACATTGCAACGTTTATCGGATACGGACCCGAAATTCAAGGCATCCAGTATTTACGAGCGTGTAAGCATTTTGTTTTTCAATGGAACTTTTAATCAAATGGTAGTTGTGTGGTTTAAGCAAATTTTTGGATTTTTTCCGCCTATAATTTATGCTAACACTAAACAGTCCCTTGTAATTGTCATATTGATTTTTGGTTACCAGTGTTAGTTGGTGCAGTTTTTAAATTACGACTGATCAGACAACTCAACTGTATCTTCTACCTTGACGTGATGGTGGGACTTACATATCTAAACGATTCAGCTGATCTATGTTAACTGCAACACTTGTTCCTCTAGGCTCTACTATGCGAGACAGATCATTTGGAGAACGGTGATACTAAAAACAGCAACTGAGTGTCTGATGACGTTGTTGTACTGCTGACTGTTCAATGATAAGACAACAGTAGGATATTTCCTTCATAACCAGCATCTGTTGTAATAATGCCTTGTGACAATGGAAGGGACGGACTGAAGAAGATTGATGCTGAAAATGTTATACCCTACCCTAGTTCACTGATTTCCCTCTCTGGCGGTAAGGCGTTTTAAAATATGGGTTTGGAACATCAAAAACCTACCACGGAAAGGTCTTGTGTGGCAAGCCCCGAGCAGTTGTTCCTTGAACTCGGGTAATGCTCTCAGTCAATCTCTAATTCAGTCCCACTTCCAGGCACCTCATGAAGAAATATCCACACACGGTGTGGGCAACCTAAAATTAACAGCTCTCGTATATGTAACACCACGCGCCACGTTCACGATTACCTCTCTGTCACTTTCATATTCCTCTTGTCCCTACGATTAACCTTTATATGGTTTTTTTACATGTGCTACCAATGCTAAAGATTCGAGTTCAAAAATTGTTGTTTTTGTCCTCTTGAAGTCGCACTTTAAACTACATGTTGCAGTTTCCAATCTTTTAACCTTGTTGGACAGAACAACAGGGCTGGTTAGCTAGGGCTCTAAAATCTCATACTACTGATACATGTTGCGTCTCCAAAACATGAATACGGGACCCCATCATGTTTATACATCTGGCCTCACCTAGCCAGTGTATGGAGCCAACACGATATACTTTCTGTGTATCTGGATATGTGGCAGCAACTCATGATATCGCCGGCGTAGGTATAGCCTTAAGTTTTAAAGCTGGACAACCACTTGACTAGATTCCTTTCGATATTCTCTTATGTTCTGTCCATCTCAATGGTGCAGGATTATGTTGCTTTTCGTGGTATCTACATATATCCACTGATTGCAAATAAATGAAGTTAAAGCTGAGTTTTGTAGGATACGTTCCATCCTCAAAAAGTTAACCGCCCAAATGTAGCATTAGTAATGGGTGATTTTAATGTCTAAGTAATTCAAGCCAAACTGAAAAACACAGATGAGTCTTCTGGCGTCTTAGCCCTATGAATAAATAATGGCAACCGTCTACTGTAATTGTGCTTAAATAACTGATCATTCTTGACAAGCATCAACTTTGAGTATAAGCGAAAACATCTAACATGAGAACTACCGAAATTAGCTCAACCATATTAGTATCAATCGTCGTTAGAGAGGTTCGGTAAAAGACTGAAGTACATGTCTAAACTTTGATCATGCTCTAGTGCAAGCCCATTTTTGCATGTAGCTTCCTGGATGCAGATAAGCCAAACTAGGGAGAATGGTGAAAAACTGGTAGATATGTTTACTTTGAGTCGTGCTCATATGTGGTGGCATTCTTCCCACAAATGCATGCACAGAACTACATGGATTTCACATGGCCATACTACGGAGAACAAGATTGGTCACATATGCACAAGTAGACGATTTGGAAGTTCTATGGAAGATGTAAGAACAAGGTGAGAAGCGGATGTACCGTTAGATTACCATCCACGGGTGGCAAAGCTAAAACTGAAGCTAATGAAGCATTACACAACTGGACTAGCAACACACTTCCTTCGAGACTCTAACAAGACCAGTTATTTCAAGATAGCTCTCAACAACGAGCTCCAAGTCATATAAAATCTACTAGATAAGGCGGAAACCACAAAATCGGAGAAGGATAAGACATAGGTTGGACACAACAGCAAACAAACCGGTGAAAAGGAGCTTTAGTACTATTGAAGATCTGGCAGCTGCAACGAAAAAGGCTACAAGAGAGACAAATATAAAGGAACTATATGATGCAACTAGATTGCAGGAAAATATAATTGACACGAGGAATCAATCAGGAACAAAGAGTGAGAACCAATCACTCAAGTTTAAGAGCAGTAGGACAGGTGGGTAGAACGTTTTGAGGAGTAACAATTGAGGAAGAGGGTCTAGAACAGCTGTTTGGAGATTCATTGTTGGCAGTGTATGCCCCAATAGGAGTAACAGGCTTAAGGAAGGTGTAATGTATTACACGATTTAGCGCTAACATCATGTCCTAAATCATACCTACTCATCATTGATTTGAAATCAGAGTTTTCCAAACCCTTCAGATGGATCCCCCGTATTCACCAACTCAGTTTAAGCAACTAACATTTACTTCTTATCCTCTTTCGTAAACAACACCCTCACCATCAGATAATGAGCGGGACTTTCCTGCAGCGGTTGTAAATATTACTATATGAGACAAAGAAAAAAAAAGTGGACACCCCACTATCGGTCCATCTACTAACTAGGGGGGTGTTCTAGTTTCTTATGTAATGTGTATGTTTTACTTGTATTTATGAAGTCACTTTGGTAATTTATCGGTGCGGTGGTAAATGTTTCATGCTTCGTGATCATTCTATGCATAAAATGCCTTTTTGTGGGTACATACTCAGGGCAGATGTTTTGAGTATCACTGTTCGAAGGTCATTATAATATAACGTGTTTAGGAATTGTTGGATGTAATTTAAACAACATATAAACGGACAGCATTGTTTTCAGATTTTACTCCAACACACATCAATATTTATATGGATATATAGAAATATTAAATCAATAAAGGCAGTCTATAGGTCAGCGATAATAGTGAAATAGATCACACAAGTAAACAACAAGTAAGAATGCAAATTGATAGTGTGATGACAGAATTACTAGTTGTGAAAAGAAAAAAGAAGTCTTGAATTAATGTAGTAAAAAGTAGGTTAACGACTTGTTAACTTCATCTCGTACAATGTAGTATGGTAATTTAGGCCAACTCACATTTGTCTCCAGCTTCGGTTTGGGCACTCAGGCAGTATCCCAGCCCTCACATAAATCGAATGATTTATGTGGCGCATATCTATTTGGTGCCTCCTTGTACATGTTGATTATAAATGAGATAGAGAAAGTATTATTGGTTCAGTTTTTCATTTTTACGGACTGATCTTCTTATAAAAGCTCTTATCCTAATGGGATTTTTAATTCGTTTTCTTTGAACTTTTAATATACTCATATAGGCAGATACACGGTTTATGTGGAATAAATCTCTGTTGAATGAATGGGAATCTATGCTTAATTCTACATCGTCCTTCAAGCATAAACAAACAACCGGTTGGAATCGCTTCGATTACTGTGTGCCTATCATTCAAGGATATGTTGGAATAATTTCATATCCAGAAACTTTGGCTGACACTCTTAAGGGAACCCTCGTGTATTCCCTCATATCTCGTCGTAGTATACATCGAACTGGAACAAGATTCAACGCACGTGGTGTTGACGGGGAAGGCAACTGTGCGAATACTGTGGAAACAGAACAATTGGTCGATATTTTAGGGCATAGATTTTCTTTTGTTCAGGTTTGTAGGATTTGGTAATAATCTATTTACTGTATGTTTTGGCCTTTCATGTTGTTAAAACATGAAAGAAAAACTGGGATTTATTTTTACTAATCAGTCGTTCTTACCACTAGCGTGTTATAACTTTATAACATTTTTTGATATGGTAGGATCAAGTGGCGATGTTAGACCAGCCAGCCTTACCATAGCGGCACTAAAGATGTACCACGTTGAGATAAACGACTCCAGTTGCCACTATACGCCACCGTCAGCACTCATACAACAATCCAAATACTCAGACTTTTCTATTACTTCTAATGGCTCACTACATAGAGTAGATTCAGACACAGGCTCATCCAAGTTTCGTAAAAGTACATTCCATTTAGAAGATAAAAAGTATGTGCCATACCTTACAGACACTGAGTGCCAACTGACTAGGTGTTAGTTGGTATAGCTTGAGTATCATCATACAGTACGAAGATATCATGTACATACCCAAGGCCGAAGAGCTTCTCCCCAAGCCACAGATCTTGGTCTGGTCAGTACAAGCGCTTTTACAAAGTACTTTTATCATGGTAAATACAGGACTTCAGAACAAGTGGCGAGGTATGTGTGGAACATGCTCTAACCACCTGTTGCCGAAGTCCCACAGACCAATCAAAGAATATACTATCCCTTCATGGTGACCTACACCTCACTTCATCATTGTTTACTTAATAGGTCTGCCATACGCAAATAACTTATGATTCCAGCGACCATATAAAGAATAACCTAAAAGAGACTATAATAGAGAGTCTCTCTCGTAACGCTCTTAAATGGTCATGTGTTTATAGATACTTCTAGGGAAAGTAATGTAATTTTGTCTTGACGTTCATAAGCAAAAATGCTGTACGGTAACTGAATTTCTACATAAAACATTGTGACGTACGATTATCACTCTCTCTTAATAATTGAGTTGGCTTAGTGTCAGCACTTTATGTTGACATTTTAAAATTAATTAAACTAAGTTTTAAATTAAACAATCATCAAGTGCAGATTTTTTTAAAGCAAATTATAGTCTCCATGACTACTGTTTGATTGTAATTTACCGACTTTACTAATAAGCTTTTAATGTGTTTATTGAGTTTGATTCTGTAATCGGATTTCGGTAGGTTTATTCACAAAAAGTGGTTAAAATCTCTCGGAAATTAACTAAGACTTTCCTCATTATAGCTTAGCATATTGGTCTATCTAGTTAAAACTAGGTTACTGCCGTTTTAATTCCTATTACTAAGAATAGAAGTTCAACTTTTTACTATATTGCTACGTCCTTGATCTGTCGACCCACTTTTGGTGCTGAGGATACTTGTGTAACCTAGATTAAGACCTTGACGCAATAGGCTGACTGGCTTAACCTTGAGGCTAGTATGCGTGAGTTCGAAGTGGGTTAGATAGACGAAAACTATTCTGTCACCTGATTGGCTGACAAGCACGCGAGTGAGAGAAGACAAGCCAACCGGAACACTACTCGATCTATTCCCGATTTCAGATTAATGTAAAAAGGTGCATGAATAAAAAGATGACTAACGCGACCACAATATACAATAATTATGAAAATACAATTATGTCCAAAACTGGGGATTAGCGTGGAAAATCGAGCACAAAATAATACGTTTAAATTACAATAACTCTAGAAAAAAAAGGGCTATGGCAGGGAATCATACGTCGAACGAAATCTAATGTTCTGTAGAATAAATTAGGGACAAAAATAAATGTTAGTGTTTTACAAGCTTTGAATTGACTGAAATAACGTCCCGAAAAATAGCTTTCGTATTTTGTCAAGGCTTCTTGTTTCTCTATTCACATCATATATGTATACTATTATTATTATTACGATGAATCGATTCTATCTTATTGAATTATTTATATGTTTTATATTTTCACACGCTTATATTTATCTTCCCCATCCATCATAATTTAAAATAACCAAACCTAAGCTTCGTGGTTCTGTGCCAATATATTGGAGTCAACGACCGAACTTAAGATATAAACCAGCTGTTTTACTAGGCGGTAGTCAACTATCTTCCAGTATAACACATTCGGCTAACCTGACCGCTAATGAGATTGAGAAGAATTTGGAGGCAATTCAAGCTAATATTGCACGCCAACATTTTCATAGTTTAATATACGATTATGGTTACGGACGACAAACAATAATAAATTTATTAAATCAAAAGGGGATGGAACGTAATTTAGGACATGCTTATGCTATGGCCGTCTTACCTTTAGATGAAAAAGAAGTCAAGTAAGAATAACTTGTATACAATTATTCATGTGTACATTTTCCAAAACAGTCTTCGTCACAAACTGAAGTCTGTTTAGGAGAAACTCTGTCTGCGTTTCTTTTGAGTTTGGTATCAGTCTGTTGTACACATTCCTAACATTATCGACTGTTTTTATTGAGTGGGTTGGTCAATAAGCCAGAATTTAGTGATCATTATTTTTTAAATCCAACCTAATCAAATAACTCTGCCTCTGGCACTTCTAGAGTTACTGCCAGTCCCAAGCCTGGGTAAAGGAGGAGGGTTGGGCATGGGGTTAGCGACCCCATCCCGTAGAAAACTAGCTAAAAAAACGCTAACCAGAAAAAATAATTCAAACCATTTAGACTCTGCCCTGGGAGTTTGAAGGTCTTCAGTTAGAAGAACTATGACACGTGGTGAAAGCCGAGTTCCTTCGGAAGCCACGAGGCCGATGCTCCTTCTAACAACCAGAGCAACAATTTTTATAGGTACATGGAACGTCCGGACAATGTGGGAGACCGGGAAGACCAGTCAAATAGCAACGGACATGAGGAGATACAACTTGGCAGTACTGGGAAACAGTGAAACCCATTGGACCTAAGCTGCACAACAAAGGTTAAATGTGGGAGCGATGCTGTTATACTCCGGTCACGAAGAGGAAAATGCTCCACACACTCAGGGAGTTACTTTATTGCTGTCCAAAGTAGCACGAAATGCACTTGTAGGATGGGAATATCACGGATCCAGAATCATCAAAGCATCATTCAAAACAAAGAAGGAGGGGATTACAATGAATATTATCCAGTGTTATGCACCCACAAATGATAGCAACGACGACATTAAAGATCAGTTGTATGAGAGGCTGCAATCAATCATAGAGAAGTGCCCAAGAAAGGATCTCACCATTTGCCAAAGTTGGAATAGACAACACCGGATATGAAGATATCATGGGACTACATGGACTGGGAGAGAGGAACGAAAACGGGGAAAGATTTGTAAATCTGTGTGCATTCAACAAATTGGTCATAGGAGGCACAATATTTCCACACAAACGTATACACAAAGCTACATGGATCTCACCGGACCACACCATAGAGATCATATTTGGATCAATAGAAAGTTCCGAAGGACAATGTAAAATGTGAGAACCAGGAGAGGAGCGGACCTAGCTTCGAATCACCACCTGGTTTTGGCCAATTTAAAACGGAAGCCAAAGAAGAACTGGATAACTGGACAAACAGCACTACAAAGGTTCAATACAGCCTTCCTTCGAGATACTGACAAACTCAATGAATTCAAGATAACTCTCAAGAACAGGTTCCAAGCCTTACATGATCTATTGAAGGAAGAAGATACTATGGAGGACAACTGAAAAGGTATTAAAGAAGCATTAACTTCAACGTGTCAAGAGGTTCTGGGCCCCAAGAAGCATCATCACAAGGAATGGATCTCTATAGAAACACTGGACAGGATCAAAGAAAGGAAGAACAAGAAGACGGCAATTATTTATTATTTATTTATTCGAACACATAAATATTGGTACAAGAGGGCACCAAATATATATGCGCCACACCAAATTTTATTTGTGTATGGGGTGTGATACTGCCCGGGTACCCAAACCGAAGCAGGTGGTTTTCTTAGGGGGCCAAATCCGGAGCCTTTGACCCGAAGGTCCGACCCACAAGGCAGTAGAGCATCGTGAGGAGATGCAGACCCATGGTAGCCGGTGACCAATGATTGGTTTATACGCCATTTGTTCCCTCAGGATACTGGAGCCAATGTGCACTATTGGTTTGGAATCCGATTAAAGCGCCGATATTCTCTTTTCGTTCTCTCATTTTCGTAAACAACAGTATTGCCACGAGAAGGCAGTGAGTAGGACTTCCCTGACAGAGGCTGTATACGCGTGGCCGTGTGAGAGCGTTTCGAGAGGAAGGGTGGGCGGGCCCGCCCCACTCTCGGCCATACCAGGGCATTGAGGAGCAATTGACAACAGTCGAACACGAGCAGAGAAAGTCCAAGCACAAGCTGAATACATAAAAGCAAACAAGCAAGTGAGGAAGAGCATTAGAGCCGACAAACAGAAATACGTGGAGGAACTAGCAGAGAAGGCGAAAAAAGCTGCAAGAGAAGGAGATATGAAACAGCTTTACGATACAACGAAGAGACTAGCAGGGAAATATAGTAAACTAGAGAGACCTGGAGGAGCAGGCCGGAGTCAGACAAGGCTGTCTACTCTCTCCCTTCCTTTTTCTTCTGATGGTCAACTGGATTAAGAAGACCTCGACATCTGAGGAAAAACACGGCATACAATGGACAGCTCAGAACCAATTAGACGATTTGGACTTCGCAGATGACCTAGCCCTCCTATCGCATACACACGAACAAATGCAGGCAAAGACAGCCAATGTAGTAGCAGTCTCTGCATCAGTAGGCCTCAACATACACAAAGGGAAAACCAAGGTCCTCAAATACAACACCGAGAACAGCAACCCAATCACTCCTGATGACGAAACTCTGGAAGGTGTAGAATCCTTCACCTACCTGGGAAGCATCGTCGATAAACAACGAAGTTCAGATGCAGACGTAAAGGCGAGGATTGGCATAGAAAAGACAGCATTCCTTCAATTAAAGAACATATGGAACTTAAAACAACTTTCAACCAATATCAAAGTCAGAATCTTCGATACGAATGTCAAGGCAGTTTTACTGTACGGAGCTGAAACTTGGAGAACTACAACAACCACCATCGAGAAGGTACAAGTATTTATAAATAGCTGTCTACGCAAGATGCTCAACATCCATTGACTGGATACCATCAGCAACAGCCTTCTGTGGGGAGAAACAAACCAGCTTCGAGCCGGAGAGGAAATTAGGAAAAGACGATGGAAATGGATCCGACATATATTACGCAAATCATCAAACTGCATCATGAGGCAAGCCCTAACTTGGAATCCTGAATGAAAGCGGAAAAGAGGAAGGCCAAAGAACGCATTACGTCGGGAAATAGAAGCAGATATGAAAAGGATGAATAACAACTAGAAAGAGCCGGAAAGGATTGCCCAAGACAGGGTTGGATAGAGAATGCTAGTGAGCGGCCTATGCTCCTTCACGAGGAGTAACTGGCGTAAATAAGTAAGTAACCTAATCAAATGTTTCGGCAGCGCCGGTGATTTTATAGTGCCAATCCAATTTTGATTAGCCTCATAAATAATTACTTCTCTTAAGAACTGCAGAGAATTGTCTGTGAATACATTCAGTAACAAATAGCAATAGTGCTGTGATGTATGTCACTAAAATAAGTAAACATTTAACAAATCCGATATAGTTTGATACACTAATGATGTTAATTCGTTTTATTTTGAAGCAACTATCCTGCTTTAATAAAGTGTGCATGCCAGTTTACATTATAGTTTCTTGTTTATTCATTTCGCAACTGATAATATATATTTAAGACAATTATTCCCTTTGATAAATTTGTATAATGTGATAATTTACTGATCGAGAATCTCAAGCTAGTAAATCAATACTTGCCATTTCTTAATCAATTCGACCGCTTTCGAGCCCTGGTATTAAATAAATAAATCCAACTATTTTAATTTTCCAAATGCCTTTTGAACTTAAACCACTCGAATAAATATTATTTATCTGGAATTCTCGGTAAGTGCAAACAATAACATACATGCATACAACATACTTATTTACTTCTTGCTCTGGTTGTCTTCATATGTATTGGTTGTTGTTAGAATGAAGTTGGTTGTGTTTATCATTCTTCTGTTAAGTATATAATAACTATTTTTTACTCATCACAGCCGGTACGTCCGTGGTGTGAAGCAAACAGTGCTGTCGGGTTTGCGTTCGAATCTTTATGGTTGTGGAAAAATGACTTTCGAGAGTGGGAGATCGTTGGTACTAGGTTGATAGTATTTGTTCATAGAGATCGTCAAACCATATGTGGCGCTTTCTGTATTTTATTGAATATGCATGATCAAAATCCAAAACTGTTCACCAAGTCAACTAGTTTTGTGCTAAATTACTTTTAGTTTGACTAGACTACCAAATCTTTTTGTCCAAAATATTTAGACATGATAGCTGTTAATTTACAAACGTTTTTATAAATTGGTAATATTTCTAACTTGTGTCAACTCTTTCATTATGAATCATGCGAAAATAATCATATTTGAAAATCATAGCCATCAACTAATGTATTGGAATTCATTTTCCTGCAATATTTTATGGTTTAATTTTTATTCTTTTTATTACGAAAGATATGAAAGTTTTGATTTTCATCATGAATGTGGTTCAACTCGTTGGGATCGACTGGGTATCTTGTTAGAACACCTTATACCAGAATTATTGAAATCAAAGTGAGTGTTTGTTTGCTCGTTTTTACTTTCAAAATCACTTTGTCGTATTTAGTTCCTCACTTTTAAATTATCAACCAAAATTATATTCCATATATCCACCCTCAATGGTTTGATTATTGTTAGATGTCTTATTCCTAAACAGTACTTTATTGCCCCTTTATATGAATATGTACCTAGGTATTAATTCGCCTTTCCTGTCCTGTAGATTTTCTCGTATCCTTATTATCTAGTCGTTAAAATGAATGTAGGTTAAAAGATCTATCATGTGGCCGTGTTAGAGTATTATGGTTTTATTATCTCACTAAGAGAGGCTTCTCAGAAAAGAACAGGTGATAGATAAATCTGTTCACAATAGTAAGGAAGCAAGCAAAATGGTAACCATTGAAAAGGCTCATATTAGTAAAGGTGAACATTAAAGAGGGGAATAACATTATCAATGGTGTAAAATATGTTCGTTTCGCCCTCTGTTGTGGAAGGCATTCCTAAAACGAACGATCTGGTGTCGAGGTGCCAACTTATTGATAACGGTTATCCAAGTAAGTGGAAATTTGTTGATGCTCTGAAAAATAAAAACAGTGTAAATAGATTAAAAATCGAACAGCCTGTTGCAGGAATCCATTAACAGCAGTGGTCGTCAAATATTAAGAGAAAGGATCGATACTAGACTATCTATGTGTAGTAGCACATCATTTGAATATGAATATCCAAACGTGTTAAACTTTATTACGAAAATTTAATGTATATAACATTTACAGCTATATCACATTGATCTTAACCCCTTTTGGTGTATTATATTCAGTCAGTTAGTATATCGCCGAGATTATTCAATTGTAGTATTAGGTCACCCTTTTAGGCTAAGTTGTTAACGTGTTATGATGTCGTGCCTATGTCGGTTGCTTACGTACACCTATTACCACTCTTAGACTGTCGAAGAATATAGAATAGTGAACAATTTCAAGGATCGAAATGCGATCGCGTAACGACTAAGTAGAAAAAAAAGATAAAGATAGTTATCCACTTAAGGAGCATGAGAAAGATTAGGAGTCAATTTGAAACATGAAGGTAGTTGTAACGATTAACTAAAAATCAAAAGTATTAAGATAAGGTATTGACTGTGTCTGAAAAAATCAGGTATTAGAGTCATGATATAATGACAGCTTGATGCGACGCTTTTGCACACATAATTCAGGTTTGAAATAATGAACTGCTACTGTGGTGCGCGCTACTTATATTGAGATAATAAGTAGTATATAACGCGAGTTTCAAACGTAATGGCTGGCTGCAGAAGATGGGGAAAAATCAAGAGAGGAAGAGCGGCAACACAATGGAATTTGTATGAAAAAACATGAACAATGAAATGTCAGTCAATGGATTGATATTTGAAACAGGGACAGTTCAGTTTAATATGAAGGATTAATATTTTGCAAATTAACGATTTAATATATGGTTTTTCTATTTTACCAATTAACTCTGTAATTTGAGTTAAATACAATTCGGTTGTCCTCATCAGAGTTCTGCCTCACTACATTTGGTGTCGCTGCCTCTACCGACGATGAAGATCCCATGGCCGAAGGAATTTGAGGGCGGAGATGTGCTGAGCTTCCTGAAGGAGTTTGAGGCCGTGGCGGAACTGTTGGGCGTGAAGGAGCCGAAGGCGAAGTTGGTGGTCCTGGGGACGCTTCTGAGAGGCAGGGCGGAGGCTGTATATGACGGCTTGGACGGTGCTGGCGGGAAGACGACGTGGGAGGCAGTTACGGAACGGTTGGTGGCGGAGTTCGACAGCCCAGTGGACAGGGAGGAAGCACTGCAGAAGTTCCGGTCGGCGAGGTTGTCGGTTGATGGTGACCCACTGGTGCTGGCTGTGGAGCTCGCCAGGTTGTTACGCCGTGCGCTGCCAAATCTAGATGAAGAGTCGGAGGCACAGTTGCTTGCGTCCCAGTTTATGGAGAGTGTCCCTGTCACCGTCTCTCAGCAGCTGAAGTTAGTAAACGCAGCACAACCTATGGATGTCAGTGAACTGGCGAAGGTGACTCGTCAGCTGTTGACACGAACAGTAGCTCCAGTTGGGTACGGAAAGCAGGAGACGAGTGGTGTCGAGAAGAAGATTGAACAGCTAGAGCGTGAGATTGCAGCATTACGAGTAAATAATAAAAGAAACGATAAATGTTACGCTTGTGGAGGGACAGGACATTGGAAGGCAAACTGTCCGACAAGACGACGACATAGATATTTTAGACGATATAACGTGTATTCTTTCTACCCTAGGAATCTGGGGGTTGTTGCATTAGTAGATAGAGGGGCAGTTTATACGAGAGTGAATATAGATGAACGGGATTTAGTGTGTCTAATCGATACAGGAGCAGCGGTATCGTTAATAGGCAAAGAGCAATGTAAGACACTCAAGCCATGTACATTAGCTGTCCACACTATAGGAGGGCACATGTTAGAGGTGTTGGGGGTATCTAACAGTATTGTAAAAGTGGGTGGAGCTGAGATAAATTTTCCGTTGGTGGTAACCACAAGCTTATCGAGACCGATACTAGGAGCAGATTTCCTAAGAGAAGTAAAAGCGATCATTGACTTAAGGAGCGGTAAGGTGGTCACAAAGTATGGTTCATTGCCAATACACGAAAGTAGCGAAGTGGCTGAAATAAGAGTGGGAACGGACGTCTCGACGGAGAAACCAAACATTAACGAGTTATGCAAAAAGTATGCGAAACTGTTCACTGGAGATGGGGAGCCGTATGGATTTTGTGACAAAGTAAAGCATGAAATCCCGATAAAAAACGACCGAGTAAATATATTTGCAACACGTCGTGTCCCGGTGCATTTAGAGGCCGAGGTAAATCGACAGGTCCAGGAAATGTTGAAAGAAGGCATAATTGAGGAAGCTCACCGGTACTCTTGGTAAAGAAACCCAACGGAAAGTATAGATTTTGTGTCGACTTTAGAGAACTGAATAATATAACAGACCTAAAACCTTGTGCAATGCCAACAGTGGTGGAAACATTAGATCGGCTACAGAATGCCACGGTGTTTACAGTGCTGGATTTACGGTCAGGTTATTGGCAATTACCTATAAAAGATAGCGATCGCAGCAAGACAGCATTTACTGTACGTGATAAACAATACCAATTTGAACGAATGCCGTTCGGGTTGGCGGGTGCACCGTTTACGTTCAGAAGATTAATGACGCTACTGCTCAGGAATCTAGATAATGTCGAGGTATATGGCGACGATGTAGTTGTATACAGTCTGACAGAAACAGATCACGTCAAGCATGTGGAAGCGGTCTTAAAGCGAATTGATGAATTTGGACTTCGAATTAATAAGGAAAAGTCGCAGATAGCGAAAAACAGTCACATTGTTAGGACATAAAGTGGGAAATGGGGAATAAAACCATTGCCGGAGAAAATTCTTACCATAAAAAATATTGCAGTACCTAATTCGAAAAGGAAGTTGAGACAGTTCCTGGGAAGAGCGGCGTTCTATAGTCGGTTTGTCAAGAATTTCAACGAAATAGCAGCACCCTTATATAAGTTGCTGAGCAACACCAAGTTTACGTGGACTGAGACTGCCGAACAAACCTTCAACCGAATCAAAAACATGCTAGACGATCGTCAGATGACGCTGCGACTGCCTGAACCCGGGAAACTATTTACAGTGGCCACAGATGCAAGTGATCATGGTATAGGTGCTGTATTGAGTCAGGCTGATAGAGTGGTGGAATATGCAAGTCGCGTCCTCACACCCGCTGAGCAGAAGTATTCAACGATCGAAAAGGAGTGCCTGGCAATAGTTTGGGCAGTGGAAAAATGGAGACCGTATCTGTTAGGAAGACGATTTCACATTGAGACTGACCATAAACCCTTGCAGTGGTTGAAAACAGCAAGAGACCCCCGAGGGAAGTTGGCGCGATGGATGATACGTTTGCAAGAATACGACTTCAGTATCGGCCATGTTCCAGGAAAGGAAAACGTAATGGCGGATTACTTGTCAAGACCAGACATGGAAGCTGACCTTCCACTGACAGCATACGCGGTGAATAGTTTAGAGGGAGACCCATTAGAACTCGTCCGGCAGCAGAAATCTGACCCTAGCCTTCGAGATGTAATCAGAGTGATGAAAGAGGGAGCAGACGTAGAAAAACGAACAATGGACAAGGAGGTACAAATGCTACTTCGGCGAAAGGAACGACTGAGATTGAACGCATATGGAGTCCTGACCTGGCAGGACGATGACAAGAATTGGGTGGCTGTAATGCCGAAAGACTGGCGGCGTAAGATGATACACGAGTGTCACCAGGTAGCACATACAGGCATCGCAAGAACGACGGACTTACTACGACAAAGTGCATACTGGCCGGGCATGAGAGACGATGTGGCTCAATACGTGTTAACTTGCCAGCAGTGTCAACTAATGAAAAGCGATCGATACACACAACCGCCATTACAGTAACCGCAGTCGGTGATCTATGGTCGGTGGATGTGATGGGACCGTTCCCACAGACGGCGAGCGGTAATCAGTACCTGCTAGTGATGACGGAGCATGCTACACGTTGGGTAGATGCCGTACCCATTGCAGACCAGCGGGCAAGAACAGTGACCGAAGTGGTAATCCGGCATATTGTAGCGTGTCACGGAATACCGATGATGATATTAACTGACCAGGGTCCCTGTTTTGAAAGTGACGAGTTTAAAGCCCGTCTAAAGCAGTTTGGCATCAAGAGGATACGAACTACACCGTATCATCCTCAGACAAACGGGCTTACAGAGAGAAACAACCGGACATTAAAGGAATGGTTAGCATCTAAAGGAGGAGATTGGGAGAAAGAGTTACCATTGATTTTGCTGGCGCATCGTTCCTCCATACAAGGAACAACCAAGAAATCACCTTTTTTGCTCATGTATGGCAGACAACCACGACTTCCAATGCACAGCAAGACCTGGCCACAACGACAGAAATGGACGACAACAAGGTTAAGAAAAGAGAGGAGGGAGGCAATCAGGAACGTGGAAAAGAAGCAAATATCAGACATAAAGAAGGCGGAACAACAGAGGAGAATGTGGAAACCTTTTGCAGTGGGGGACCTAGTAAAGTGTAGAAAAAAAAGATAAAGATAGTTATCCACTTAAGGAGCATGAGAAAGATTAGGAGTCAATTTGAAACATGAAGGTAGTTGTAACGATTAACTAAAAATCAAAAGTATTAAGATAAGGTATTGACTGTGTCTGAAAAAATCAGGTATTAGAGTCATGACATGATGACAGCTTGATGCGACGCTTTTACACACATAATTCAGGTTTGAAATAATGAACTGCTACCACCTCTACAGCAAAATGTTCTATAAGATATTTTTACCATGTAGTTACATTTGTGAATCAAGTCAACTAATTTGAAAAACTGTTCAAACGTTTTTACCTGTCGAACATAAATCTGAGCATGGTTTTAACTGGAATAAATGATAATCTGACTTATATACGCACTTAGTACTAGTAATTGCTTGAGATCCATCTAATATATCCCACTTGTTCATCTAATTGATCCTCAATAAAACATAGCCATTTGACTCGTATTATAACGGACGTCAGCAATTGACAGAATAAAAGTTCATTTAGTTTCTCTGGAGAGCTTCGGTTTCAGCATCCAGGCAGTATCCCAACCCACACACAAACTAAATTATGACTACAATAAAAGCAACATTCACTCTTCCATTCCCATTCTAGCAAATCCTACTCACAACTACTTGTTTATACGAATTACGAACCAGTTTTTCTAAAACCACGTGTACTATTCAAACTGGCCTCCTTCAAAGTCCACACAATAATCAAGATCGGGCAACAGATAGGGTCGGCTATCCCAGAGATGGGGCAACATATAGGGTTGAGACGTTATCAGAAATGGCTCAGAATCGAAGCCAGTGGCGATCCTGCTGTAACTTTGACTTCCTTCATCAAAGTGGGAGTAACTTCTTTAACTGAAAAATATCCTTTCTGGTTGCATTTTGCTTAACTGAACTGCTTCTCCCATTATTATTTCACTCACATACACCAATATCTATACATTGTTGTTCTTGTTCTTGTTATGCTCACTTTCCTTCCTCTATCTCTTCACGACCTCATTTTTGTTGTATTGTGCATATGTATGTTGGCTTCCCGTGTACCAATGTTTAATAATAATACTTAGGTCCATCGACTTCATGTAATGTGTTAAGCTTAAATTTATATCAGAAAAACATAAACAGGTATCATCTTAATAAATATACGAACTTCTGATGACCAAACAGATATTCAGGAAAGAATTATATGCATATAATCTTGGGAATGTAATTAAGTTGCATAAGAAATAGTTGACTAATTAATTATAATTTGTAAAGTTCTTATCAGTACAACTTTGTAACTATTTTGAGTTCAACAGTTGGATAGCATTTTAAAGCTATATATGTATGCAATAACAGAAAGCCGAGTAGACAAATATAGACTTGAAGGTGTTATTTATCAGAAATCGATCCCATTCGGGGCACCAAATTGTGATGAATAGCACCTTCAAATAAAAATAGTTTCCATTTAAACTGTCGGAAAAATAGTATAATTATAGTCATCAGTGAAATACTTTTTGATCAGTTTCTGAAATCCTAGTAAGAAGTTTTGACCCGTGGAATTCAGATATATGACAGATCAAAAAATCGTCAGTAGTGGTTTTGGATAGTCGTTGCGCTATATTTCGAATTGATGGAAATCGGAAATATGTATCATTGACACACCAAGGCACTTGAAGATTTTCAGTTCATCCTCAGAGCAGGTTTGTGGGAGGAGTCTCATACCAGGAAGAAATAGCTGACTAGTGTTTTATGTTCTTTAATGGTAACCGACATAAATTAATCCGTGATGAATATCGCCCTCAAATTAACCCAAAATCTACAAAGCGCAATAAAAAGTTCAAAACTCCACACATAGTCTTGACACTACCATCTAAATAAATTTGAATGCAATATAAGGTTATGATTTTTAGCTTTTAAAATCGAGACGATCGACAGAACCGAGAGCGTATTAGTTAGCTCGTGACTCATATATTATGACTGAATGATCATGTCTCATCTGAAACGATTCTGGAAATTCATAGCTCAAGTGAATCCTTCTAGTGCCGAGTTGCTTGAAATGTTAAACATTTATGTTGTTTTTAAAGCTGAAGTATATCCATAACGAAAGATTGATTATAGGGAGATGACTTTTAAATATTTGAGACTTTACTACTTCGTATATGTGAGTAATAACTATTTCTGAATATGTGAAGTCACTCATAATACATGTTCAGTGACCAAAACGAAGTTAAGAACAGTAGAAATAAAGTATTGAATTAAACTCCGTATCTCACTTAATTTCAGTAGCACATTCAGTCAGTCAGCTACAACGTAAGACCAGGCACATATATGCATCGGTCCAAGTTGCCCTACGGCATTAGCACAACAAGTTAAGTCAATGGTGGTGATATATAAAAGATTGCATATAGTGATATAGTACAGGAAGAAAGAATTAGTTTGTAGAAAGAAATTTCACGGTTTAAGGGAAGACAGAGAGTGTATGCACCGACGCCATGGTGATCGATTCTGAGCCGTCACCAAAAGTCTCCAACCATTGGTTGCGATAATCACGCAGACCCCAACCAAGTAGTCTGCATCTACCAACATGGCTCAGACCAGAAGTTAGTGACTTCAAGGACTGATGCCACGTGAGCACAGAAATCAGACAATTTTTCTTGTAAAACAAATGACATATTTCAAATTCAAATAGTACACCACCAAAGTAACATAAAACATAGTAAAGATATGTGAACATGTATGTATTTATTTGAAAAAAAGCATAAATAAAACTGGTCCAAAAAACTTATTAACCCAAATCAAATAAAACGCAAATCATTCAATTGACATAGATTTGACAGTGTTATTAAATAAACATCATACTTTAACAGTTTGAATGAAAAGAATATAAGCAAAACAACGAAGTAAGAAATAAAAGCATGAAGAAAAATAAACTAACCAGTGGTTCAGGATCTTCCATATCACTGGAACTTGGAGATGTCCCTGAGTGGACAATATGATCACATATTAGTTGACCATTGATAGGTGTGGAGATATTTAAATAGTTGGATAACTGGATCATGAATTAAAAAAGGAGAAATTAATGCATTAATTAGGATAACAGTAAAAAGGTATGCACAAATTTTCCATGTCCTTCTAAATAAACAAACATATTAAACCACTTAATGTAGACTGAAAACATAATAGCTTGACGAAAGAACTAATAACAATTAATTATTATTATTTTAGGTTGATTTTTAAATGCCCTAGATACGTTTAAATTGATTTTTATTGCAAGCTGATATCAAAACGAAGAAAAAAAAAACAACGAAAGACAGAGAGCTTTAAACTATTTGAAATTATCTATGAGTATTGTTATGATTTGATATCCGGCTTACGATCACGTGCCTTATTCACCAATCAGAATACGGCTTATACAAATCTTCGCACTATGACAAGACCAATGACGTTCAACCGGTCTGAGCAGTCCAGCGTCCTTATTGGGTCCTATGTCCTTCTAACCTGTCCTTTTGAGTCCAGAACAGAATACCAGCTTCCGTAATATGAATCGAATCGAACCAAATCATTTATTTCAGACATACTCGGTTTATAATATCAATCAGACAGACCACAACGTACCATAAAATAGAAAATAACATGTGTACACAAATAAGCCAAAAAGTGACTGTGAATGTGGGAGACAGTGATTAATAGACAGGTTATAACTCAAGAATAATAAATCGTATAGTAATAATCTATGGGCCAAAATAAAGCTTATAATAAGTGGAATATAAATACACATAATGTAATTCTTGAATTATTATACAATAAGAATATTTATAGAATATTAGTCCATTAATAGTCCTCGAAAGTTACCTGTAGTTTAATCTTCACTGGTCTGTTTGTTTAGTATATAAACCCAGTATGTCTGAAATAAATGATTCGCATGGTGGAGGCTGTTGTTGGCATTCCGAACTCAGCTGGACGGGCTAGGCGAGCAATGGACCAATAGGACACTAGGCTGATCAGACCGGTCGGACGTCATTGATTTAGTACAGTATAAAAGCGAATAAGTCGTATTTTGATTGGCGAATAGATTATGTGATAACCAGTGGGTCATAAAGACACAGCAGTTTTTGTAATTATAGTGATGAAATGATATTGTTTAAGTTTATCTCTTCCCTTTTTTAGACAACTACATATAGATATGAATAACTCTGCAACAATTATTACGCGTCAAACTGGAACATTTCGTTCAAACTGTATTGATTGTTTGGACAGAACAAATGTGATCCAATCTATGCTTAGTTGGTGTGCATTAGAACAAGCAATGATTGAGATTGGTATATTGCAAGGTACAGTTTCTCGAACAGCTGATGCTAGTACTACATCACCTCTATCTCATTTGTGGCCAGGTTTTGGATTTCGTTTTAAATCGATTTGGGCTAACAATGCAGATTACTGCTCTCTTCAATATGCAGGTACACCAGCCTTGAAAACAGATTTCACAAGAACAGGTAAATTTTGTTTTAGAGCAAATAAGACTTACAAGGTTTGAATTCATATTGACTTTGAAGTAAGTGTTCATCCAAGTAATATATGGGTAATTTAAAAGTGTTTTTTATTGTTAACTGGTGTGTTGAAGAACAATTAGTAATTATAGTTTACGAAACAGTTATTTTTAGTGCTACTATATACCCAGTGGTTTCTCAGTAGAAGCGGTTGTCTAGTGGTTAAAGCACACTTTCCACTAATTAAAAATAGAGTGAGATGTTGAACATCGTCATCTCAATGAAGCTGATTTTCACAGCCGCGCCATAGTACTTTATGTAAACTCACCTAACATTTGTACCAAGTATAACCCGAATACGAATAGATTGCTCTGACTTTAGGTAAGGAGTACATTTCTTAGAGATCTCTTTTTAAAACATCTTCGATGGCAAATATAGAGGGGAATGGCGACACTAAGCAACGTTATTTAACAATTACTAGTTTGAAACAAAGGTTATAAGTGGTTCTGTGTCCTTAGACGTTTCATGTTCTCCTTCCAAGATGCTAGTAAGCTTCTGGGAATATTTCCTCTTATACAAAATTGCAGAGCACACTCCTATCCAATAAATCGAATACAGCCCTAATGTTAAAGACTATTATCACTGTTGGTCGGTGTTCAGGCAGCTGGCGCAATGTAAGGATGCTACTAGGACATCTACAACCTATGCACTAACCTATCTGGTGCTTACGAGTCGGTTCCATGCAAGAATTGCCTCATCACAGATTGATGAAACCTGAAATTTTTCATTGTTTTTAAACAACGTACTATAATGTAATCCTCATCCTTAAAATCGTGAGTTTGAGTCTACTTAACTGAACGTTTTGTAACTATGGTAAATAAAATTCCTTTCGTGTTTCTGCTTCTTTAATTATATCATATTCAGCATTCATATAGTCGCTAAACAAATGATGTAACAACAGAATAAATGGCGATTGAACTTCACATCAATTAGTCAGTGTGTAGTCATTGATTTCATGGCTAGTCTATAGTTCTGGTCGAATTCTCCTAGTCAAGTTCGGATGAGGCGATCATCTGAATAGTTCAGTAATAAGGTTTTCGACTGTGATATCGAACGACATGATTCCAACCCTATAAAGGATTATCAGTTCTCTCAATATTTTGTAGCTAAGTTCTACTCCGCACAAAAATTAGGTCAATGACTAGCTACTATTTGTCTCCAGTCGTATAATATCAATATCCATAAAATTTATTCGCTATTTAAGATTTTTTCTTTATTAAAAAATAGGTAAAAGAACATTCTATGGTATGCTGATGGATGGTTATTATTCAATAATTCGTTATTATTTAAATAATTTCAACGACGGCTTCCGTCAAGATTCAATGCATTTACTTCTTGGCCAATATAAAGTGATGGATGTTAATGGGAATCTTAAGCCACTACATGGACCAGGTGGACCTCCTAGACGTCGCCTAAAAAATTCTGATTCTGAGTGGTTTACACAGTTTCTACCACTAGTATTTAGTTTTACCTTGGCTATGTCTGTATTATGTTGTATCTTTCCTACAGGTAGGCGTTTAACATACTCTATATTTGATAAGAATTATAATAATTTTGCGTTAGACTATAATTTACGGACGACCGTTGATCAATGCTTAAGTAGCCTCGAGAGCGTCCACCTACTTGAGTTTAGTGAGGGTTGTAAATTGATGTGATTAATTAGGATTCACAGTTGGGCGTTAGGATTAGTCTTCATTACGAACTGGGATCATCTATAATGCCAAGATGCTACTTAGCCATATGGACGAGTGAATTTTGCTCCAAAATCCAAGACCTGCCGTCTTAAGTCTGATTGGTCCACCCATAAATTTTTCTGTGTAACTGGTTCTAATTTCACACTACATTACATACTATTCATACAACGACATAACAATAACAGAACTGTATAGTTGAGTAATTATAAAATCAACTTTTAAGATTTTTTTGCACTAGTTATTTTTAACAGTCAAGTTCAATTTCTCATGCAGTGACCATAGTAAGTTAACAGAATGTTAAGACAAAACTTCATAAGATATCACTGCCTAATACCAGATGAATTGATTTACAGTATGTAGGTAGATAGGTTGACCACGAGATGGACGTACGAATGATTCCCGTGGCCAGGTGAATAATGCTCTTACTCAGTATGAGTCATTGTATTTGACTTATCATTCAACCTTAAGATATAATGTGACCTGGTTTCCTTGCTGAATCAATGCTGTTTAAATCTCTGTAGGAACAATGACCTTCCGGCTGATAAATTCCATACTTGAAAAGAAACTTTATTACTCCCTACATCCGGTTTTATTGAAGTTTTACATCAGTGCAGTTATGGTGATGACTGGGCACCCTCTCATCTGTTGATAATATTTCACAGCATTTTTCGCTGTTCACACTCTGTAGGTATTCTCAGGTTTACAATTTCATATGGTTATTGAAATAATTGTAAAAATCAACGGTGTATTTCAAAGCAGAGGTATTACATTGAGTCTGAATTATTGTAAGCAGCGCGAGATATTGGGATTAATAGGTGGGATAGTTAAGAACCAATTTATTTAAATAGTTTACCGTTTTTCTTAACTTTTGTCAATTATTAAAACATGTATCCGAATAACAGTTATTTAATCACTACTACCTAGCCTTGAGATAACTTTTCCGATGTTCTTTTAGAAAGATTTGACTAAATTAGAAATGAAACAGTTGCTTGTTATCGGTGTTACATATATGGGTTATGTTGCCAGTTGGCTGAATTTAAAAACTATGAACAACGTATCAATTTCTTAAGTTCAGTTGGTAAGCACAGATTACTTGACTAGCGATCGGAGACCTTGATTGAAATGGCTGAGAATCTATCACAGCGACGCAGATGCATTCACTTATTCTCCCTCCCTAAGTCTTGGGTTTCAATATTATCTCGTAATTCTTATTCTTCGAATTCATTTCGAACCGTATTTTCTACCTTTCGATTCTTATGCCACTGTTCTTGTTAATTTTATCTCACCATTCTGATATTATATTCGTCTTAGGCTGCATGTTGAACGGCTGTGGAGTGCCCAATATCAGAAAAGTCCCTAGATTGTCTGGTGCTGTTTTGTTTTCATTGATTCATGGTGATGATAATCTTTAGATTAAATAAGTCTTCAAAAATTATAGTAACTGTCTGGAAATCCATCATTTCTGAGTTTTATGACGAAAATATTTTACGCTGCAAATCACTAAGCGTCATCCTATTTTTCTTACCATCCCCCGACAAACCACTAAAAAACACAAATGAGCTATATCAATTTGCCTAAAGATGCCTTAATACTATAAACGTCTGACTTCTTTTGACATTGAGCCCAGTAACTTCTTGGTCCTCAACTAGTACTGAATATTTTCTGAAGATTAGTGTCCCAGTGGTCACATAGCAAGCACTGAGCATTCTAGATTCAAAGTTTAAAAGAAAGTATAATAATGGGTAGACAATTGTATTTCTGACATTTCGTGACTTAGTGTAAGCCATGTTTTTTATGTTTAGCTCCACATTGCAGTTAACAATGTGGTATGGCAACTCGAACTGATGTACGTACGTACGAAGTTCCACGTTGTTACTGACTGACTGACTGACTAACAATAGCCCTAATGAGTTGGTTAGTTTCAGATTTCTTTGTGTACATATATGAGGTATGGCAACGTAAATCTATGCATACTTACTTCAGGTCTTGTATTGCCTGTGATGGACTATCTAACCTGTAACAATGGTAATTCTGTAAAAGTTGTATTTTGTAGAAAATTTTCGAAGAAAATTAGTCTTATAGTTTTTTATTTGGTTTATATCTGTTTTCAGCTCATTGGACAGAGAAAGCAACTTACGTACTATTCTGGGGTGGAGCTTCAGTTCTTTCTGCTTTAGCAATATTTGCCTATGGTGATGATTTTGTTGATCATCCTCGATTTTGTCCAGACTAAAGAGGATTTTCCAAATCAATTCTTACGATAAAACCCATGGAACCGGAATAATGTTTTAATTGAAGAATGTAATACTTACTCCATAAAAGTACATATTGACAAACATCTTTGTATTTTAATAGGAATATATGTTCGTTTGGTCAACTAACAAGGACATATCTTTTCTCTCTTCTTTCTTGTGCTCAAAAGGAATCTTTTTATAACTGTGACTACTTTGCTCATTATATTATTAGTGATTACAATGTGTTTCTTCTGGGCGTTTTCTTCTCTTCATATTTCGGGTTAAGTTTGATCTCGTCAAGTACTTCGAATGTTTAAACTAATCAAATCTAAACTTGAGTAAATCAATCCGTTTTTAAAATGTCACCGCCTAGAAAATCCTACAAAATTTTCGTTACTTTTTCAGAGGATGTTTCAGTACGTGTGTAAGCCTACCTCGATCAACGATCCTCATAAAAATTAATGAATAGCAGACTTTTCACCGTTTAAATAATTGATTCCGGTGTATCATTGTAACTTCTTTGTGCAGTCAAGATTGTCTTTCAACTGGAACCGGTAAAAAAGATCTCGGTTGTCCGTAGCATTAGGATCATGAGATATAAACCGTGTCTGCAATCCTACCTGGAGAACTGTTCGTAATGTCTAGAATAACACTTAAATCGTGGATCTCAATAGCAGTTAAACAAGTAGAGTAACTTGTGTTTAATATTGCTTACTCTAGCATAGATATCCCGAAGCTTTTTGGAAGCTAGTGTTAAAGAATTCGATAAGAAGCAGTTACCCAAATATAACGCCAGTAGGCTGCGCTGTACAATGAATTGGATGCAGTAAGAGATTATGAGCTGGTGGATGGTTCGTACCAGCTACCGATCTTAGGCAAAATGCCATAGGTCGCCAGCATATACTTCTAAGGAGTGCCGAAGCAGTTCGAAAAATCTAGTGCATTCGCTTTAAAAGTTCTTTGACTGGAACCAGCACAGCCGTGAGCTCATTGGTGACTAAAGTCGCGGCACTACATATCATAAATAGGCTGTATTCATGAAAAGTATGCGATAGGACCCCCGCTTGGTGACCATTGAAATACTAATTACCCATACTAGTTGGTCCGCATCATTCTCATTAGATTCGCTTACCGAATTATGGGTTTGTATAATAGGTTTTGAGTTATACTGTTTGTGTGAAAGCTAAACAGCTTAAACGTTAGCCGATCACCTCCACATAGACAATAATATTTGAAAGGTTGCACAATAACTGTATTTGATGTCAGTGCTTATTTTATTTGTTTATATATACCGAAATAAGTTACATGAATCACAAATGTCCATATATTCACAATTATATGTTGATTTCCTGTAAGAAATAACTTTCGTAAAAATAATCAAATTAGATAAAGATTTCACATTCGAAAAAGGGAATTATGCAATATTGACATCCTTTTAGTTATGATAGACACAAAGTGTAGTTGAAAAAATGAATGAAACTGATAATTTTAATATTTTTAAGGAACGAGCAACTTGCACTTATATCAATTTGCCTAAAGATGCCTTAATACTATAAACGTCTGACTTCTTTTGACATTGAGCCCAGTAACTTCTTGGTCCTCAACTAGTACTGAATATTTTCTGAAGATTAGTGTCCCAGTGGTCACATAGCAAGCACTGAGCATTCTAGATTCAAAGTTTAAAAGAAAGTATAATAATGGGTAGACAATTGTATTTCTGACATTTCGTGACTTAGTGTAAGCCATGTTTTTTATGTTTAGCTCCACATTGCAGTTAACAATGTGGTATGGCAACTCGAACTGATGTACGTACGTACGAAGTTCCACGTTGTTACTGACTGACTAACAATAGCCCTAATGAGTTGGTTAGTTTCAGATTTCTTTGTGTACATATATGAGGTATGGCAACGTAAATCTATGCATACTTACTTCAGGTCTTGTATTGCCTGTGATGGACTATCTAACCTGTAACAATGGTAATTCTGTAAAAGTTGTATTTTGTAGAAAATTTTCGAAGAAAATTAGTCTTATAGTTTTTTATTTGGTTTATATCTGTTTTCAGCTCATTGGACAGAGAAAGCAACTTACGTACTATTCTGGGGTGGAGCTTCAGTTCTTTCTGCTTTAGCAATATTTGCCTATGGTGATGATTTTGTTGATCATCCTCGATTTTGTCCAGACTAAAGAGGATTTTCCAAATCAATTCTTACGATAAAACCCATGGAACCGGAATAATGTTTTAATTGAAGAATGTAATACTTACTCCATAAAAGTACATATTGACAAACATCTTTGTATTTTAATAGGAATATATGTTCGTTTGGTCAACTAACAAGGACATATCTTTTCTCTCTTCTTTCTTGTGCTCAAAAGGAATCTTTTTATAACTGTGACTACTTTGCTCATTATATTATTAGTGATTACAATGTGTTTCTTCTGGGCGTTTTCTTCTCTTCATATTTCGGGTTAAGTTTGATCTCGTCAAGTACTTCGAATGTTTAAACTAATCAAATCTAAACTTGAGTAAATCAATCCGTTTTTAAAATGTCACCGCCTAGAAAATCCTACAAAATTTTCGTTACTTTTTCAGAGGATGTTTCAGTACGTGTGTAAGCCTACCTCGATCAACGATCCTCATAAAAATTAATGAATAGCAGACTTTTCACCGTTTAAATAATTGATTCCGGTGTATCATTGTAACTTCTTTGTGCAGTCAAGATTGTCTTTCAACTGGAACCGGTAAAAAAGATCTCGGTTGTCCGTAGCATTAGGATCATGAGATATAAACCGTGTCTGCAATCCTACCTGGAGAACTGTTCGTAATGTCTAGAATAACACTTAAATCGTGGATCTCAATAGCAGTTAAACAAGTAGAGTAACTTGTGTTTAATATTGCTTACTCTAGCATAGATATCCCGAAGCTTTTTGGAAGCTAGTGTTAAAGAATTCGATAAGAAGCAGTTACCCAAATATAACGCCAGTAGGCTGCGCTGTACAATGAATTGGATGCAGTAAGAGATTATGAGCTGGTGGATGGTTCGTACCAGCTACCGATCTTAGGCAAAATGCCATAGGTCGCCAGCATATACTTCTAAGGAGTGCCGAAGCAGTTCGAAAAATCTAGTGCATTCGCTTTAAAAGTTCTTTGACTGGAACCAGCACAGCCGTGAGCTCATTGGTGACTAAAGTCGCGGCACTACATATCATAAATAGGCTGTATTCATGAAAAGTATGCGATAGGACCCCCGCTTGGTGACCATTGAAATACTAATTACCCATACTAGTTGGTCCGCATCATTCTCATTAGATTCGCTTACCGAATTATGGGTTTGTATAATAGGTTTTGAGTTATACTGTTTGTGTGAAAGCTAAACAGCTTAAACGTTAGCCGATCACCTCCACATAGACAATAATATTTGAAAGGTTGCACAATAACTGTATTTGATGTCAGTGCTTATTTTATTTGTTTATATATACCGAAATAAGTTACATGAATCACAAATGTCCATATATTCACAATTATATGTTGATTTCCTGTAAGAAATAACTTTCGTAAAAATAATCAAATTAGATAAAGATTTCACATTCGAAAAAGGGAATTATGCAATATTGACATCCTTTTAGTTATGATAGACACAAAGTGTAGTTGAAAAAATGAATGAAACTGATAATTTTAATATTTTTAAGGAACGAGCAACTTGCACTTATATCAATTTGCCTAAAGATGCCTTAATACTATAAACGTCTGACTTCTTTTGACATTGAGCCCAGTAACTTCTTGGTCCTCAACTAGTACTGAATATTTTCTGAAGATTAGTGTCCCAGTGGTCACATAGCAAGCACTGAGCATTCTAGATTCAAAGTTTAAAAGAAAGTATAATAATGGGTAGACAATTGTATTTCTGACATTTCGTGACTTAGTGTAAGCCATGTTTTTTATGTTTAGCTCCACATTGCAGTTAACAATGTGGTATGGCAACTCGAACTGATGTACGTACGTACGAAGTTCCACGTTGTTACTGACTGACTAACAATAGCCCTAATGAGTTGGTTAGTTTCAGATTTCTTTGTGTACATATATGAGGTATGGCAACGTAAATCTATGCATACTTACTTCAGGTCTTGTATTGCCTGTGATGGACTATCTAACCTGTAACAATGGTAATTCTGTAAAAGTTGTATTTTGTAGAAAATTTTCGAAGAAAATTAGTCTTATAGTTTTTTATTTGGTTTATATCTGTTTTCAGCTCATTGGACAGAGAAAGCAACTTACGTACTATTCTGGGGTGGAGCTTCAGTTCTTTCTGCTTTAGCAATATTTGCCTATGGTGATGATTTTGTTGATCATCCTCGATTTTGTCCAGACTAAAGAGGATTTTCCAAATCAATTCTTACGATAAAACCCATGGAACCGGAATAATGTTTTAATTGAAGAATGTAATACTTACTCCATAAAAGTACATATTGACAAACATCTTTGTATTTTAATAGGAATATATGTTCGTTTGGTCAACTAACAAGGACATATCTTTTCTCTCTTCTTTCTTGTGCTCAAAAGGAATCTTTTTATAACTGTGACTACTTTGCTCATTATATTATTAGTGATTACAATGTGTTTCTTCTGGGCGTTTTCTTCTCTTCATATTTCGGGTTAAGTTTGATCTCGTCAAGTACTTCGAATGTTTAAACTAATCAAATCTAAACTTGAGTAAATCAATCCGTTTTTAAAATGTCACCGCCTAGAAAATCCTACAAAATTTTCGTTACTTTTTCAGAGGATGTTTCAGTACGTGTGTAAGCCTACCTCGATCAACGATCCTCATAAAAATTAATGAATAGCAGACTTTTCACCGTTTAAATAATTGATTCCGGTGTATCATTGTAACTTCTTTGTGCAGTCAAGATTGTCTTTCAACTGGAACCGGTAAAAAAGATCTCGGTTGTCCGTAGCATTAGGATCATGAGATATAAACCGTGTCTGCAATCCTACCTGGAGAACTGTTCGTAATGTCTAGAATAACACTTAAATCGTGGATCTCAATAGCAGTTAAACAAGTAGAGTAACTTGTGTTTAATATTGCTTACTCTAGCATAGATATCCCGAAGCTTTTTGGAAGCTAGTGTTAAAGAATTCGATAAGAAGCAGTTACCCAAATATAACGCCAGTAGGCTGCGCTGTACAATGAATTGGATGCAGTAAGAGATTATGAGCTGGTGGATGGTTCGTACCAGCTACCGATCTTAGGCAAAATGCCA